TATATATATATATATATATATATATATATATATATATATATATGCTTCTTTTTTGTGATTATTTCATGCTTGCCTTGAATTTCCCCCTGGGATTAATAAAGTAAAGTGATTCCTCTACCATTATACAAACGGGGCGCCCCGTCCCATCAACAGAACCAAGTGTCCCGCCTACCGAACCGAACTGCGCGCACCCCCACCCCACCCTCGACACTGACGTAGCGCTACGCTAAGAAAGTCGTGAGGTAACAAGATGTGACAAACCACCAGTATGTTGTTCTACTTGTTTAAGTAAATAAGAGCCTGCTTCTTTTCTCTACAAACAACAACAACAACAAAAGACATTTCTCTGTGATTTACCTGGGAAACGGTAATTCCACACTGTTTGGCGAGTTCTTCTTTGGCTTCTTCACTGGGGTACGGGTTGGACAGGTGGGAGTAAAAATATTCATTAAGGACCTCTGTGGCCTGTTTGCTGAAGTTGCGCCTCTTACGCCTAATAAAAAACAAACAAACAAAACAGGTGAGCATTAAAAAAATGAAAGACAAATACTTGAGTTGCCCCTATTTTTGACAGTTCCTCTACTTCAAGATATTAACACGTTTTTTAAATTTATTTAGAGAATTTAACTTTAGTTGTTAGACCATTGTTTTTGTGCAACAACATCATTGCATGTTCCCTTACAATGGTGAAATTGGCTCTCTGCTTTTAACCCATCTATATATATATATATATATATATATATATATAAATCTCCATCTTCAAATTAGAGATAACGAGCAGAATGTTTTGCTCAAATTGAATATTATTATTATTATTATTTAATATTCTAGTATACTCGATGGCTGCGCTGCCCACCTGGCGTCCAGGAAGCGGGACCTCAGGATCATAACGGCCTCACACGTGCTCTGCTTCAGCTGGGTCTGGATGGAGCTGAACTTGCGGTGGATGATGCCCACCATGCGCTCGATCTCCCGCGGAGTTACGGGCCGAGTGCGCGACTGCTCCCTCAGCAGGTTCATTACGTGAGTGGTGAACTCTGTGCACGCCTGGGTCAACGTGAAACAAGAGAAAAAGAATGAAAAACATAATTAATAATATATATGCTGGATCTATAATGATGTGTCCAAATATGAATACTTTGCGGGAGAGTCTTAAAAATATTGTGAGAAATTTATTTCTGATTAATGCTTTGCTCAGGAGGTAAAAAATACGTTTTCATTTAATGCAACTAATCTAGATTAAGAGGAACAAGCTGTGATCAGCCTGAAACTGTTAACTTGTTAAATTGCACTCCTCTGAAATATGTTGACATGTCAGTTTGCTTTCTGTTACAGGATTAAAAAAAAAGTTGTTTACTGGCATTTAGATTTAAACGACAGTTCAAAGTCACGGAGGAATCTTCTCCAAGAATGCCCCCCCCCACCCCCACCCAAACAAAAGTTATATGAAGTGTTAGTTTAACACGCCAAAGGATTTCACTCCTGGAGGGCAGCTTCAGATCAGGTAAGCATGTACGGGCAAAGTCAGGGGCTGGACTCCTGTAGCGACACGGTACCTGTTCATACTTCTCCAGCTCAGTGTGGTAGATACTGCGAATCTGGCTCAACTTGCTTTTGTAGTCGGAGTGCTCGAGCGAGCTGTCAGGTGACATCCCTCCTGAGCTGGTAGCGGCAGACACGGCGGCGGCGGCCCCACCGCCCTTTTCCGGCCCCGCGACGCCCTCCGCTAGCAGCATGTTGTCCAAACGCACCAGCTGGGGGTCCTGGGGCTCCTCCTCCTGAGCGTTTCTCATCGAAAGGCCTGAAAACACAAGCCAATAAAAAGTACAAGAAGTTTACGGTCACGTAGACAGTGGTAACATAAAAACAACACGCCAAAGTGTTGTTAAACGATTTAAAATCAACACGTGAAACGATCTACAGAACAAGAATTCAGAGCAATTTATTCTAATATTAATATTCTGCCTGCTAATGGTTTATTTAAAGACTAACTTGGTATGGTAACTGCTGAAAGGAAATGTCTGACGTAGGCAACCTTTGAAATATTTTCCTTCTTTTGCTTTAAAAAGGCCCATCTTTACAAGTCGTATGAGGTGTAGCGTTACATCTGCATGCTACACTGGGTGATGCAAAATCAAATAATTTAAATAAGGATAAAGACAAAGTAATACTATATATATATATATATATATATATATATATATATATATATATACATACACTGATTATTCACATTAGAGAATCTAAAGTTATGAGCAACCTAAAAGTTTAAATATGACTACAATTTTTCATAACTCTTGATAGGAAATAGTTGGAGGATGCTCTGTGCAACTAATAAAAACAAGTTAGAATAAAAGCACCTTACACATTATTTAATATATCTCCAACATAAAAAACTAATAGGTTTAATTATATTGCTATAATTCTTTCTTCTGCAGGTCTGTTCAGCTGTTTATTGTGCACCAAAACAGCATTTTACATCAGAAATGTAGCTGTCAAGCAAAATGTTTTGTCCACGGAAACGTCCAGCTCGTGTCTCGTGTTATGAGTTCGTGGTGACAGCGTGTCAACACAGGTCGATCAACAAACTACCAGGATGGTGGCCACATGTGTAAACAACAGTCAACGTACCAGTCTTTTCCTTGATCTCGCACAAAACACTGAACAATGCTGGCTTCATTCGGTGACAGTTAAGTGCGTGTTTCCTGCAGAATGATAACAAGAAAACACGACTTGTTAGCTCCAGAAGGGCACACAGAAACGGGGTGACAGCATGACTAATGAGCCAAACAAAAATCCCAGCGGCTACCTTTAGCAGGTTAGCCACAGTTAGCTTCTGGCTAGCTAACATTTAAGCACACAACTGCTCACAGGTAAGCTAACTGTACACGACAGTCAATACGTTTCGTTAGATGTCCATTTTCTTAGTGTAAAATTGAATTTGTATCCGGACAGGAATGTTTATATGTTTACATTAGCTGTTAGCTTGTTTGTCGTAGCTTTGCCTTTGATTAGCGCATGCTAGCAGGCTAACAAAGACTGCGCTAAACAATCGTTCGCTAAAATGACGTGATTTTAGTTACAAAACAACACGACGTGATGTTTTACTGTTTTACCATATGAGTTTTGAAGTGAGCAACCAACGCAACTTGTTTTAGCCAGTTGTTTATTTAGCTGCTGGGTAAATCTAAACAATAAGACTGAAGTTGAGCAAACTTTGCCACAGCGACGCTGAGTCAAAACACAAAGCAGCCGCAGCCTCGGGAACCTGAAAACAAGAAAAACTCTAAAAGTTGTCACTAACTTTGCTTGTGCCTCGTCCAGACTTTGGTCGGTGATGGTCATTATTTGCTGCAGTATGTCGCCGATATCTCTGCGGGTTTCGTGTCCATTTTCCGTGCCCTCGAGGCCCGACTCGCCTCCGTCCGACCGGTGCTGAGAAGGTTGATGAACCGAGTTGAGCGCATGCATCCCCGGGTGGCCGCTCACGCCGAGTCCCCGGCCGTTGGACGGCCCGTTGCCGGTCAGAGGCTGCTGCTGCAACATCTTCAGCGACGCGCAGTGGCGACGACTGGTGCCCCAACTGAGCTCTCACACGCAACGCAGACTGATCCATCAGCTCCGGAGCTGGGTCCTCTAGCGACTGGCAGCGAAAGGTACAACAAGGCTGCAGGCACGCGAGCTCTCACCCGCACCGGTGGAGCAGCTCCACTGACACTTCAGGTCTAATCTCAGGAGAAGAAACTGAACCCTAGCAAAAAGCTAAATGCTAGCGTAAAGCTAAAAGTAGCAAAACAGTAGCTGGATGCTAGCTGAAAGGTAAAAATAGCAAAAAGCTACCTTTTCCTTTGTCACCAGCATGATTTAGCATTCTTTAAACTTTAAAGTACAGTAATGCATTTCGTTCAATGCTTTTTAATGCCAGGCAGCAGTGGCGGTCCTAGCCTATTTGGCGTCCTGGGCGAGCAACCCCAACGCCCCCCTTGTATTCCTTTTTGAAAACAACTTGCAACACAAGCAGAAAAGGCTGTTGTTGAGATGATTGTTCATGCTTTCATTTCATCTCGGTTAGATTACTGTAATAGCATTTTAATGGGTCTGAACAAATCTTCCCTAGCTCGCCTTCAATCTGTGCAGAATGCTGCGGCGAGGCTGCGAACTAGAACCCACAGAAGAGCTCACATAACTCCTGTTCTGGCCTCCCTGCATTGGCTCCCTGTGCATTTCAGGAGTCATTTTAAAATTCTGGTTCTAACTTTTAGGGCACTTCATGGTCAGGCTCCCAAATATTTACTGGACCTTTTGAAGCCTCTATTATGTCCCATCAGGACTTTGAGATCTTCAAATCAAATGTTGCTGATAGTTCCGAGAACTTATTTTAAAACACGTGGAGACAGAGCATTCCAAGTGGTGGCCCCCAGGCTTTGGAACGCTCTCCCTCTGTCACTGCGCTGCTCAGATTCCATTGACTCTTTCAAAAATGATCTTAAGACTTATTTATTCAGACTGGCTTTTATTTAAATTTTATTTACTTTTACTTTGTGAAGCACTTTGTGATGTCATTGTCTGTGAAAGGTGCTATATAAATAAATATTACTTACTTACTTACTTGTTTTTTTCCGAATACACCAACCAGCTTCTAAGCAGCTTTTCACCACTAACTAACGTCTTCCAAAAATACTGGTGGTGGCAACTTCTACCATCATCCTCGTTCTTTGGAAAAACAAAGTTAGCTCTTACTTGACTTGGTCCTCTGCAAACTAACAGTGTGCAAATTTTGTTATTCAGAATACACCATCAATTGTGTCATCCTCAAACAGTCATAATTATATCCCTCATGGTGGTTATTTAATAGGCTGTAAAACCTTTGTTGCAGCCTTATGCAATAGAGTAATTATGTCAGGCTAACATAGTTTTTCTCAACTAATGTGATTAAGGGACTGTTAAACTGGCATAGCAAATGACAAAAACAACTAAGGTGTTTATGCCGTTTTATGCCGCCCCCTGCTGGAGGCCGCCACTGCCAGGCAGAGACTAAAATTATCATTGAGAAATGAGAGATGTGTATTTGGTGAAACCTTAAAAATAATAAGCAATTCAGTGGCATGGTGGTTCGGTGGGTAGAGCTGTTGCCTCTTTGTGAGAATGTTGAGAATGCTGCCGGATCAATTCCCAGCTGGGGGCCTTTCTGGGTGGAGTTTGCATGTTCTCTCCGTGCATGCATGGGTTTTTTCTGGGTACTCCAGTTTCCTCTCACAGACCAAAAACATGCATGTTAGGCTGATCGGTAACTCTAGATTGTCCATAGGTGTGTGTGAGAGAGAGAGGGTGATGGACTGGAGACCTGTCCAGGGTGTCCCTCGCCTCTCACACAGTGACTGCTGCATGTGGGCACCACTGACCCCCATGACCCAAAAAGGAAGGAACGGGCAAAGATAATGGATGGACAGATGTGTGCAATTCATGCAATATTGCAGAATCTTGCTTGATTTGTTTGCACTTGAAGTATGTTTTGAATCACTGTCAGCTACTACCACACCAAATTCTAGCTCAATATCTGTAAAGCTGACTACGGTATAGACATTTTCACGTAACCTGAGGCTGATTGGGTCTTGAATTAGGTTGTAGGAGTCAACCCACTTATTTTTTTGACTGTTTCAATAAAGCGGTTCACAGGATATTTTTATAACAATGCAAACAAGCCCACATACATAAAACCTTTATCGCTCCACCTTCAAGCAATAAAAAAAAAAAAAAATCAGAATGTGTGTGTTGATGTCAACAAAGCACAAAGAATCAAAATCATACTAAATAACCAAGAAGTCACATGTTCCGTTGTTACACTAAACTCTTAAAACTGGTCCCAAACGAAGGTTTTGACATGAAACAAACGTGTCTTTTGTAGATTGAAAATCTCCCTTTTTCTACTTCTCTTTTTAGCTTCAAGTCAACAGGATGTGCACCAAAACCACAGCAGTGTCAGATGAAGCGAGCGCCTGTTTCAACATGTTGCAGCCGCTCTCACATCTTTAAACTCGCAGCAGCTAAAGCTGCTCACAGCCGCTCCAACACTCACATCAGCTTATAGAAAGCTTTTCTCAGGAGAGCACCTAAACAAGCAAATTCATGGCAGGGCTTCATGTTTTTTCCTGTTTTACATCACAGTCATTTCATGGCCCGTGAAATGTGGGCCAAGTAAATAGGGGTGGGCTGTTGCAAGAGGAACAGGAAGAATAGAAACGAGAGCGAGAGAAGGTAGAAAGACACTGAGGGGGTGAGCTTGTCACGTCAATATGTGAAAATGTTCACAGCAACTTTTCTTTTCTCGACATACAGTTATTGACGAGACAAAGGGATGAGCCAAAAATGCTGCATCTAGTCTGCAGTGACTTCAAGAGACGATATAAGAAATTAAAGTCCAGAATATAAGGTAAGGATGAACTTACATTTATTGTGTAAGAGTTAAACTAACTTGTGGGGGTGTTGTCATAAGAACGATGTGTTAAATTCTGAGCTAAATCTACAACACAAGAAGGTGTAATGTAATAAATCTGTATTTTGTCTTGTGATTGTTGTCATGCGGCCGACTGAACTTTACGTTTTTGTAGTTGAATGTTCTGCTCAAACGTCTGAAACCACCGTTCTAAAACCTGCTCGACTGGTTTCTCACATTTCTCTGAGAGAAAAACAAAGATCCTCAGCAGCCGAGTCACCTGTCTGTAACAAATACACGAGTTCTCTGCGTAACTATCTTTGAAATAGTTAACAACCGAAACTTGAACCCTAAAGTTTATTTTCTGACCTATAATTTTTGTTTCTGCTTGTGCTTATCTTCCTGTCAGGCTTTGACAGAGAGAATAATGGACTTTACAGCAACTAACGTTGAAAGTGCCGAGCTGGAGCCTCTTATCATCACAGAAGATGGAGATTCAAGCGAGGGTGTCCCCGAGGGAGAGGCAACAACAGGCAGCTCCGACGCCGCTTCCGAAAGCTGCAGCGAAGACTCTGCCCTCGAAAAGAAAGAGGAACCCTCGGGAGAGGACGGGAATGAAGAAGCTGTAGCGAGTAAAATGGATTCAGGGGGGCAAAGATCCGGACAGCACATCGCTGAGGAGGAGCACAAACCAGAGAGCAGAAAAGATAAAGAACAGAACACAGATAGTGAAAGTGAAGAGAAGTCACACGAAGTGACCAATGGAACGTCCAGTGAGGCAGCAGAAGAAAAGCTTCCACAAGAAGACCGACGAGTGCAAATAAAGAGATTAGAGACCTCAGAGCAGCCACCGGAGGGAGCAGAGAAACACGAGGAAGATGCAAAAAAGGTTAGTACGCTGTTCTGTTCAGCCCAGAGGGTCTTCGGTTTGTGGCTCTGGGGCCACATGGGGCTCTTTTGTCACTTTGACAAAAAATAACATCAAACATATTAGGGATGCACAATATTGGATTTTTAGCCGATATGTTAAAACGTATTTGACCGATACGATACCAATATTTTCCCCTTAGACCTACTTACAGAGACTCTGCAGTGGAATTAAAATACTTTGTCAGTTGGACCTGCTGCCAAAAGCAGATGCCCACAAGGCTGAAAATAATGTAACACTTCAACTTGGATTATGTTTGATGTCACATTTATTCATGACATTTACTCGAACTCAGTGACGACACTCGAACAGTGCACATTCGCAAATGTTCACAAAGCTAAACTCAACTTGTTCACAAGCGGAAAGCGCATACGCAGTAGTGCTTTAATGCTTTAAATTAAAAATGAACTTAAAACAGCACCTTTTATATCGGTGAGTTGTTTTGATGGAATGTCCGATATTTAATTGTATCGCTAATATCGGCCGATACCGATACAATGCCGATAATATCGTGCATCCCTAAAACGTATAAATGTTTAAATTCATAACCACAATGGAAAAGGCAAGCTTGAGCAGTTTTCTGTCTAATTTAATTCAATAAAATGTCAGAGAATAAAAGATGCTAAACTACCCTGAACTGGTAGTTTGTGAACTTCACTAAACGGGTCCATTCTCTAAAATTCAGCAGAAAGTTAAACTTTTTTTTAACACGTTTGAGGCGAGTTGATGAGGGGAAGAACAGAAAGTGAAGCTTTGCACACGTGCAGTAACAGAGTCATAAATAAAAGCTTTACCTTCAGGAAATAAATGACTCTAAAAGATGAAATAGTCATTCGCCTTTATTACTGCAATATAACTTCAATTAATGCAATATATGACAGTCTGACCTTATAATTATATATCTAATAACTAATTAGGATGCCAGTAAATCTTTATTATTTCAAAGTTGGACATTTATACTATTTTCCTCAAACGACTTGCACGGGCCTTTATAATTTAGTAAATGTTAGTAAGTGTGATACTATAAACAACAAAAATGTTTCTTTCTACATTAAAGCTTTATTTTTCTTTGTCCTGACATGTAAAAATACCAACAAGTGTCAACAGTTTGTTGGACTTGATTTTGTAATATACAAAAACAATAGTTTATATTGATCTAACACAGATGAGTTGTGTTATTTCCATTTGAAGTGTGTGTGTGGGGGGGCTCTTATGACAGTTGCACGTTGCAGACATCTGGTTTATTCCAGCTGTGGTGATGTTAAATCAGCCGTGGTCAGTTAGTAGGTCATGCAGTAAACAAAGAGCTTCTTATCAGCCACTTCTGACTTGATCACACCATGTGAGTAAAACAGTCTCGTGACGGTAAAAGTCACTTTTGTCTTGTTTCGGAGCACGGGGGGGGGGGGAGTACGTAGGAGTGGATTCTTCTGCTGTGCCAACAACCACTTTGTGCCACTCAGTCAGAAACTTCTTTTTTCTTTCCGGCTCTTGCCACCTACTCGTGTCCTCTCAGGCCCACCGGTTAACCCCTGACTTCCCGGAGGCGCTGTTCGAGCTGCTCTGCACGTTTCAGGAGGGGAGACGTCTCAACGATCAGCGCTGCTCCTTCAGGCTGGAGGAAGGCATGAGGAGGAGGAGGTGCCACTCGGAGCCCAACACCAGGAAACCGGTCAACAGAGGTGGGGACGACTCATGAGGTCGAGCTGATGTGATGAAACTGCTGCAGCTGTTTCAGCTCTTTCCACAGCATGATGCTGACTCATTTAAACCAGGAAGAAAAAAAACACTACATTCTTAGGTTGCTTTATGTGTTGGTTTTCTGACTGTCCTGCAAAGGACAAGTTTATTTTTAGACTTAATTTCATGCATTCAGACTCTGTCTATCTAAATTACACACATCAGCAAGTTCATGCTCCCCAGATTCAGTAAAGGCTCACGATCGGTTGTTTTTCCTCAAACATTTGTATTAAGACAATCCTGTTGTACTAAAACTAAAAAGAAGAAGTTGAAGCCACCCCAGATGTGCGCCCCCTAATGACTGGCTCCAATACAGTTATTAAGACCCGCCTTTAAACTAACAGGACAATCCAAATCATTTTATTCAGGTGCTGATTTTTCTTGATTCATCTAGTTCTTTGTTGCTGTTTGTTCAAGTATTATTTTTTCAGTTTAGTTTCAATCAGTTATTTGAGCTTTGAAGAAAAATGTCATATGACTGACAATTGTTGACTGAGTTGAGAGGGTGTGTAGACGAGACTTTTGTATCGTGGTTACAGGTCCACGACCCAAGACTGTGGCTCCAAAAATACAACATGGCAGCGCTCACTAACGCGGAAACTTTGGCTTCAGTTCTGAAAAACTGAGAGCGTTTATTCATTTGTGCTAATGACAGGTCACACACATGACTAATTTCATTAAACAAATTAAATAATTTTGTCCCAAATAAATACTTGCAATGCATTTCAGATGAAAGGGTCTGAAAACAGACACGCACATTGTTTAAATGTGGTAAACTCGTTTTTACAAGGGGCTAAATTTTAAACTCTCTTTCTGTTTGAAGGCCTACTTCGGTCATTTTTTCAAAAAGGAAAAGTAAAATTGACACATTTATCAGATTATAGTTTTTTTTTTCAGATTTGTCAGTTCTACTAGTTCTAACCAGCCTACAATTAATGTGACAACGGGGGTGGCAAGATATTGTTTTATTACAGGGGTAGCTGCCCCCCTGTGCCCCCCCGCTTGAACCACCACTGTCACTGATCGCTGCTGTTCTCTCTCCTTCCAGTTGTTTTTTCCTCCATGACTTCACTGCAGAAAGAAGAGTTTTTTGACTTGGTGGCAACGGCACAAGCCCGCCGACTGGACGACCAGAGGGCGCACCTGGGGAGGTCCGTGCCAGCAAAACCAAAGTCCAGAAGTTTGAGAGGCAGCCTGAGGCAGCTCTCGATAGTGAAAAAGCCCGAACTGGTTCCTGCTCCAGTACCGAAAGACGACCTGTATGATATGATTCGGACAACTCAAGTAAGCAGCCTGAGCTTTCTTTAGTTTGTGTATTTTTTTTATTATTTTTACTGTGTTGTTTGTGTCAAACTTCTTTAATTTAAAGTACCTTGCTTTGCTTTTCCCTTCGCTTTGACTCGCAGGCTCAGGGCAGGCTGGAGGACCAGCGCAGCCGGGCTCCGGGTCCCATGGACGACGAGGACTTCTTCTCCCTGCTGCTGAGGGTGCAGGGGGGGGCGCATGGATGAACAGAGGACTGAGCTGCCGTGCTTGCTTCAAACCTGAGACGCAAAATTAGAAACCCAAGCAGTATTTTTGTCGTTTTGCTTTGGTGTGACATTTTGTTGACCCTGATTTTTCTTTTTTTAACTTTTTAGGAGAGTTTTCATGAATTCAAAAAGCGTTCGATACAAAGAGTTCTCATGTTTCCCGAGTGTTGGTCAGTGTTAAAATAACTCGGACTGCAGCACAAACGCTGATGTTTGAGCAACAGAGCTTTCAATGTGACATTAGGATGAAATAGATTTACTTTCACTTAGTTTTTCATTTTTCTCTCCTGACATACATGGGCTGTCATGCATTCCTTCATGAACAGATGTTTTGAATGTTTGCAGTGAGTTCCTGTGACATTGTTGTGGAGGAGGCCGTCGACTGATCCCTGTTGTTCTTGTTTGTGCAGTAAAGTGATCGAACAGGGAGGCTGGCGATGTTGTAGCTTCAAGGTCGTGCAGCGCTTCGTCTGTTTGATCATTTTCATGCAGAATAAACCAAATGTGTATTTAAGACGTGGACTTTAAAGCTTGTTTTTGTTTTCTCAGAAAAAAATCCAACAATCAACAAAAGAACTGTGAACTATAACCTGTAATGGAACCATTAGAAGTTTTAGACTTACTTTTTTATTTTTACGTCCAAAATAACAAACAACACAGTCACAGTGTACACTCACTAAATTTGTCCTCTTCTATATTAATTTATATTTAAATAAAAAAAAAAGGTACATTAACATTGTAAAATCCTGCATTCTGATCTGAGCGTATTTGCTTTCCGGAGGATTTTTTTAAAAATTCTATTCAAGTTTACTAGCTTTAAGTTTTTTTTTTTTTTTTAATATAAAAAATTATTTAATAAAGTTTTTATTTTTTATCGACGAACTGTTCAAAAACAGTTATCTACTTATGTTTGAGGTTCTGCTAATCCTAAATAATGAGGGAAAATTATAATTTACACTAAACAATATGGTAGAACTGTATTTTTCGCGCTATAAGTCCCAGTTTTTTTGTATAATTTGCAAGCCCTGCGACTTATACACCAAAACAATTTATTTATAGATTTTGCTTCATATTTATGAACCAATTTTTGTCTGAGATATGACTGTTTTCATTAATTCTGACTGAAAATATTGAACACTACCATTTTCAGCCGCTAGATGGCTCTTGAGAAGAATGGCATGCCATTATGTCATATAATAGGTAAAAGTGGCTATTAATGACACAATCAGCTTGCCATACCCTGCCACCCTCATCCAGCTCACCTGGAGCAACCGTCAAATCAGCTTCATTTCGCTGCGACGCCCGGCAAAATGCAGCTAATTTGACCACTGAAGTGCATTTATTAAGTAAAAGTTCAACTGAGACACACCTTTGTTATAATTTCGAGCAAACAAATAATTGTTTTTAAGTTTTAATCTTGTTATATTCTTGTTAAAGTCCTCCTGTGCACGCTCCTGTAGCCACCATTTGGCAGCGAATAGATTTTTGTCACAACACCGGCCCACATTTCCGGCTTGTCAGCGGTGACGCATAATAGATGCGACGTGTACAGTGAAGCGACGTATTGTTGTTTTATTTCCATTTTATTAGACATATTTGCACTAATGTGACATAAGGCGGTGCGACGTGTACGGCAGAACATACAGTACTCAGGGGGGGGGCAGCTGGGGGTGGGGGCAGCACATTTATATGACAGCCCCTGAAAGACAGGCTTAACATTTCCTCTACTCATATTCTCATTAAGCTTTTTTTAATTTATTTTTTATTCAGATGCATCTAAATCATTGAAGGCAGCCCTGTGTCGACGCAGGTTCTGTTCATCATTAACAATCTTTTTCTTTTTTTTGCTGAGTCACATTCCCTCAAACTTGTGACGCAGCGTCTTTCCAAAACACGCAGTCGCACACAAATGAAACTGCAGGAACAGCAGAAGCTTTAATCCCTTTTGAAGGAACAAATAAGGCAAAGATAAAGATGTCAACGTTTTACAGAATGAATCCATGTTATCTCCAACTTCCTGATTTTTACAGTAGATTTTTTTTCTGCACATTTACAGTAACCCTGAAGAATATGGTCAATATTTATCCAAGATCATAAAACATTACACGCATTCAAGCACGTATATTCGAATAGGTTGTTAAACATTAATAAAATAGCTGTGAAGTTTACAGAGAAAGTGACATTTTATGATACTAAACACACATACGTTGACATCCAAACAGCTGCTTCGTGTAACCGTTATTACCTGGAATTTAACCGTCTTTGCTTTGTCATTTTATCGTTTTATAAAGCTTGACTCATCACGAACCCTGATCCAGTTGTTCACACGGCTTTTTCTGAACTGTGCAGACAGCAACAAAGACCTTGTTGTGTCAACAGCTACAGGGGCCTGCTGGAAACCTGCGGTCTGCTCCGGTGTGAGTTTTGCCCACTCAGCTCAGAGGAAACCCTCCTGATGCACGGTGGAGGTTAGAGGTGGCAACAGCTGTCACTTCCTCAAACAGAGACATCAGCTCTCTGAGCAACACCGAAGCTGTTGGCAAAGAGTTACGGTGTACAAAGGAGAAAACTTTCAACAAACAAGGAGCTGCACATTTCACCGAAGTTAAGAAACAGGAAGACGAGCAGGCTGCTTCACCAGCTTCACCAGCTTCAAGTTCCACTTTTAGAATGGCAGCGTGCCAAAGGTTTTCTAAGGACTCTGCAAATAGAATACAGCGTACAGTATTTTTTATTATTAGTCACACGCACAGTGGAAGTAAAACTTTTAATGTTCCTGATCAGAAAAAAGAGTCAGAGCAGATGTCATGTCAGCATACTATTGTCATTTTTTGATTTCACTTTACAGTTTATTCTGATTCAGAGTACCGATAGTGTATTTTCATTTTTTACTTGCAAATTATAAAAACAAAGTCAACTCATTAAAAAAGAAGTTTAAACTTGATTTATGTTCTCAGAGTTTCTCGTTTCATAGGACTCTGCTACACATTCAACTCAACGTTCATGATAAAATCAGTCTTTTTTATAAAAAGTTTCTAACATTGAAAACATAAATATAAAACAATGGAATACAATAGTTTCATTTGTGATTGGAGAGCCTTCTTATTTTGATGCATATCTCTCAAAATAACAAAAATAAATGCTTAAAAGCAATTTAAAGAAGAGACAAACTAACACATTTATTCAGAAAAAGGTTTATAAGGTCAATCATCCAGGTAGAGCAAAACAAAAAAGGTTAAATCACGTCATCTGGACAATTTAACCTTTTTTGTTTTAAACAAATTTGTATCATACACATGTTTTATAAACATATAGTAATAATCAACACTTATAGTAAATAATAGTAATAATAGTATGTTAAATTTATTGCAAAGACCAACGCATACATGTTCCTGTTTTATTTTTCATCACTTTATAATGTACAGTAGCTTGTTTTTGTTTTGTTTTTATATAATTTTATTTATTTACTTTTCATTTTACATGTTTTTTATATGATTGTCTGTTGCTGTCTTTACCTCATCTGTGTTCTTTTTTTTAATAAACTTTATTTCAACCAGACAATATTACAAAAATCTTCCAACCCAAAGAAGCATCAAAACACAATAAAAGATACATAACTATCACAGACCCTATCAAACTAGACCTCACAGTTCTTAACTAAATATAAATGCAACTATCTCAACAAATATACTAAAATAACTTCAAGTTTAAATAGCAGAGGGTCTGAAACAAAAAACACAGAAATACAATACAAAGAGAAAAGGAATAATAACAACAAAGGGATCTGCTTATGGGATAAAATTAAATTTCTGAATAAGAGTTTTTGTTCTTAGAAGTTTTTTATTGTTAAAATTAAGTTTTCAATAGAGGCAATATATATTTTTAGGTCAGTTTCTTTAAAAGTATTAAATGAGGGTATTTTTTCATTCCACTTCATTTTGTGTATATAATATTTTGCTATGCTTATAATTCGATTTATTATAAATAGTTTGTCTGAAGAAAAGAACGAATTATTAAAGATGAGCAATATTTGCATTTTTGATAACACGATGTACTTTTAAATTTTTTTAGTAAGCAGTTTTTGTATTTCAGACCAGAATATTGTAGTGTGAAAACAATCTACAAATAAATGTTCCATACTTTCGCCTTCGCACTGACAAAAAGAGCAGCTTTTGCTGACATTTGGGTAGAAACGGCAAATGTAGTCTTTAACTGGATAATATCTATGTAAAATTTTAAATACAAATTCTTTAATTCTATTAGATAAATATATATTTATAAGACAAGAAGAAGATTTCACTCCATAGTTTATTGCCTAAGTAGCCCCATCTATGTTTACTTATGGGAGTAAAGAAAGTAACTAACTAAGATCTGATAAACCTATTATTAAAATTTTTATGCATTATATTAGTACCTTCAATAGAACCTGAATCACAAAAGTATAATTCGTCTAAATGTATGGTTTGTGCTAGTGCATGTAAGTTATGAGGAATAGAATTAATGGCCCTCATCTGTGTTCTTTAACAGGTCTCTGTTTTTTTTGCGGCGCATACATTTGACGTCATCGCCCCGCCCATGTTCGCCCCTCCCCGTTGGTTCGTTACCAAAACAAGGATGTAGAAACAAACTATATTTGGGGATTTCAGTAAATGTTCACCATGTGAGCTAAAACTCTGATTGACAAGGCATCGCTGAAGGGAGTCGGTGAAAGGTGAGTTTTTGCTTTTACTTTTAAATTTGACTTTAAAGTTTTTCACCGAACTTTGGTCAAACGAAAGTAAAGTATTCGGTAAAGTTAGTTGTAAACTTGTTTTAGTCATTTCCTGGAGGATTTTTTTTGTTGTTTTCGACTGGATTTTGGATGTTTTGCTGTTGTTGTTTTTTCCATTTATTTTGAGTAAGGCGTATTAAAGTGCCCTTTAACCATAAAACGTGTGTTAATCAAAGCATTAAAAAAAAAGTGTGTGCATTTCAATTAAATGCCTCAAGTTGTGCATGAACATAAATCTATTTGCTTCATTTTTATGCTAGATTCTAGTGTTAAACAGATTGAGTTTGTTAATTTTACTTTGTCTCTAAAAACATAAGCAGGTAATTTCTGAAACATTTGGCCCTTTAAATCTTAACAGATTGTGCAGCTTGGTTTTTAAAGTTGGGTGAAAAGCTCAAGGATTGAGCAACAAAAGGCCTTATAAACCATAAACTCTAATAATAAACAGGAAAACAACAGTTCGACCCAAACCAGGAGCTGAGAGGCATCCCATCCATCCTGCAGATGATTGGTTTGTTTTCCCGGAAGTGATGTGAGTGGAGGTGAAGCTGTGAAGGAGGCATTTTGAGGAAGGGAAACAGAAGATTGAAATCAGTGGCAGCAGGTGTAACACACTGAAACTGTGTGGGTTTGTTCTGAAAACAAGACACAAAAGCATCAAAGAACTCCTTTGCTTCTGATTCTTTTGTACTGCCACTCAAAAAAACCCATTTATTTTACTGTCCCCTTGCTGCAACATGTTTCTACATCTGTTCTCAAAATGTTACTGACAGCTCAGGTGTGCATTTGATGAAGGGTTAATTCAATTTAAAAATCATGAGCATGCACAATTTCTGTTGTGCTGTTTATTTATGTTTCTTTTTATTTGAGCTCACAAACCTGTTTCTTTTTTGGTTCTCAGATGCTTCTGTTCCTGTTAGTTGCCTGTCTGCCACTAGAGGGCGACACGTCACCAATCAGCTGTTACAACGACCAGGGAGATGCTGTTGATTGGTAAACATTATGCAAATATTGGTGTGATCTTGTTTATTGACAATAAAATTCCAAATAAATACAATGCAGCAGTTTTTAACCCTTGTCTCTCTCCTTAAATTACGGTAGGTTTTATTTGTACAAACTGCCTAAAGAAGGGATGAGCAAATCTCCGAAAGAGGGCGAGATGTACTTGTTGCTTGAAAAAGGCAGTGAAGGCTGGACAGAGGGGAAGGTGACGGTAAACGACACTCTGGGAGCTCTGGGCCGGACGGTGGGGCAGCTGTACTCGCAGGAAAAGGTCCGTTTTCATCAAGTTTCCTTTTCATCTGCAACAAGTTCCATCCAGAGTCTAAAAGTGTGACTTCGCTTCACTGAAAGTTTTACATCCTTTCTTTTTTACGCCACCCAAGTGAAGGTCAGGGCTCTTCTAAAATGAATCATCATGCCATTTTCACTTCCTTTACGTTCCAACATTCGCTTCACATCAAGCAAAATGTCTGCAGGCAACATCTTTTTGAAGAGAACTTGAGTTTTTCTTTTCCGTCTCAAAGACCTCATTGTGCTGCAGAAGTCCTGACGTTAGAGTTGTTCGCTTTAGAGATAGACACAAAGGAAGACATGCTCATGCACCCTGGACACAATTATTGGCTCTTTGTTGATACTTGGCTGAACGTTTTGCAGCTGCAGCCTCTAAATGTCATCAAGAAATTCCAGTTTATTTCGACTCCTTCATGCTTTATATTCACGCTTTGTTTTTAGGTTGGCAGGTGTAATTCTTTTAAAGGCTTCTCATTAAAGTTTTCTTCGTGTGATTTAAATCAAATCTTACTGTTAACCAGTTTGTCAAATGTTCCTTTTTTCTTTTCTGTGACGCTTCATCCATGTTCTTCTAACGCTGCAGCAGCTTTTAGCGTGGCCTTTTATTACCCCTTAAAGGTTATAGTTAGAAACTAGTTCTGTTCTAATGTCCACCGTTGACACAACGTAACACCAGCTGTGTTGTTGTTCTACACGTCTGCAAACTGTTCAACAGGCTTTTTCCTGCTTCTGCTTTCTAACTGCGCTCGGAGGACTTCTCTTTTCATGACACGCTGAATGTGATGCGAAGCACTTTCTAATTCCACGTCTGCAGTTTCCACTTGATGTCACTTGAAGCAGCCTGTAAGAAGAAGTGAAAATAACGTTTTCTCTCTGTTTTCTGCTGGTTTGTCCTCGCTGTTGCTAAGCGAGCTGTAACATCACAAAAATACAACAATCGTAACTTAAATGACCTTTGTTTTAACTCGTAGTTGTTGTTTAATATGTGGAGAGGAGTTAATTTAAAATAACTCTTCACCCTTTTCACAGAAGTCTGATGTGGCGTACATCCTGTACAACGACCAGAGGCCGACTGACGAGTTCAGGAGCAGAGGGGATGACGCCAGGGGGAGCAGAGGGGGGCACACCAAAGGTGAGAAGCGTTCAGCTGCAGCGTCTTCTTTAACGTTCGCTTCAAATGAATCGCCGTCACTTTAGAGCTGATGTTCCCAAACATGGGGCCAGGGCCCCCAGTGGGCCACCAAACAGCACGCTTGGGGTCGTGACATGATTTCTGGAAGAAAATTACATTTAATAAAACTTCTTAATGGCGTCGTTTTGGGATTATCCATCCATCCATCTAACTATGTAATCATCCATCTAGCCAGTCATCCATCCATCCATATAATTATCCATCCATCCATCAATATATCCATCCATCTATCTAATTATCCAGCCTTCCATCCATCCATCCATCTAACTATGTAATCATCCATCCATCCATCCATCCATCTAATCATCCATCCATCTAATTATCCATCCATCTAATCATCCATCCATCCTTCTAATCATTCCATCCATCCAGCCAGTCATCCATCCATCCATATAATTATCCATCCATCCATCAATATATCCATCCATCTATCTAATTATCCAGCCTTCCATCCATCTAACTATGTAATCATCCATCCATCCATCCATCCATCCATCTAATCATCCATCCATCTAATTATCTATCCATCTAATCATCCATCCATCCTTCTAATCATTCCATCCATCCATCCATCCATCCATCAATATAATTATCCATCCATCTAATCATCCATCCATGTAATTATCCATCCATCCAGCCTTCCATCCATCCATCCATCCATCCATCTAACTATCCAGCCTACCATCTATCCAGCCTTCCATCCATCTAATTATCCATCCATCCATCCATCCATCCATCCAATTATCCATTCATCCAGCCTTCCAGCCTTCTATCCATCATCTATCTAATTATCTATCCATCCAACTAATTATCCGTCCATCCAGTATCCATCTATCTATATAATCTTCCATCCATCTATCTAATCATCCAACTAATTATCCATCCATCCATCTAATAGTCCATCCGTCCGTTTGTCCGTCCATTCATCCATCCATCCATCTATGTAATTTTCCATCCATTTGCCTAATCATCCATCCATCAAATATATCCATCCATCCACTCATCCATCATCCATTTATCTAATTATCCATCCATCCATTATATTTACCCACTTCTTTCTTTTTGGGTTATGGGGTCACTGGTGTCCATGTCCAGCCATCACTGCATGAGAGGCAGGGGACACCTGGACAGGTCTCCAGTCCATCACAGGGACACAAAGAGACAAACGAGACAAACAACCATCCTCTCTCTCATCTGGGGACAGTTTAGAGTTACCAATCAGCCTAACATGCATGTTTTTCGTCTGTGGGAGGAAACTGGAGCACCCAGAGAAAACCCACACATGCACGGAGAGAACATGCAAACTCCACCCAGAAAGGCCTCGGGCTGGGATTTGAACCGGCGACCTTCTCTCTGAAAGGCAACAGCTCTGCCAACTAAGCCACCGTGCTGCCTAGCTGTGGAATAACTGTTATAAAAATGAAAGTATGTTGTTAAAGGTTAAAAGACTTGTAAAATGATGTTTATTTGTCATTATGTCCATGCTTAATTGGCCTAATTGAAATATTTGCATTCTTTAACCAAAAATAGTCTGGATTATTTGAACGAGCTGAAGCTAAACGGTTTGGGAACCTGTGCTTTAGAGTCTTGTATGCTCTTCAGAAATAAAGTACCAGACACATGTAATAATATGTGAAAGTCATGTTGACATAAATGTGGAAAAGCTTTTGCTTTATTAAAAAAACCAACACGATGAGCTTCAGTCAGAACCTTTTAGGCTGTGCTCCAAAATGTCTGAGTCTTGGATGGAAACCGTTGTTTGATTGTTCTGATTGAACCCTTTTTAACGACTCTTCACCTCAGGCGTCGTGCTGCTGGATCAAACCCAGGGCTTCTGGTTGGTCCACAGCACCCCTCACTTCCCCCCCGAGCGACAGACCGGGCAGTACTCCTTTCCCAGCAGCGGTGAGAACAACGGCCAGAACTTCATCTGCGTTTCCTACCCGCTCGACCGCTTCCAGACCATCGGTAAGACCGCGTCCGCTCCGTGAGAGCGCGGCTCATCGCTGCAGATGTTTACCGCAGATGAAATGTCCTGGCAACAGCTTCTTGTTGTTGACGGGCTGCAGGCACATCGTTGGTTTCTTTACTGCAAGCACTAACATCTCATGAGAGAACACAAGATCCTGCCTCAGACTGAGCCCGTGCTGCAGTCAAAGTTTGATCAGTTCGGCTAAAACTCGATTCTGTTTCTCATCGTCTTAGTCTAAACATCTGGCGTGGCAGCGGCGGGTGATATGCATTCCTTGAAGCAACGCTAGACTTTTAATGTTTATTTTCCCGTCCAAAGGCAGACGTGTTGTGGTGTAGTCTCCCATCGTACGTCTGTCAACGTTCTCTTGTCCCACCCATAACTTCTGACCCGCTCAAGGTGAATTCATGAAACTTCATACACATGAGCATCATCACTAATCAGTGTCGCATACACAACTTATGACCCCAGCTCTAAGGTCAAGGTCACAAATCAAGGCCAAATGTTATACAAGGTCTTTGCCTGTCCCGTCTTTAACTTCTGATCCGCTCAAGATAATTTAACAAGTTTTGGTACAAATTATTACCCGGAATTACTACATGGAGTTTCACAAAATCTTCTCATCTCCTCAGCGCTAAGGTCACAGATAAAGGTCAAAGTTAAAACAAGATCTTTGCTTGTCTGGGCCTTAACTTCTGATCCGCTAAAGATAATTAAACAAAACTTGATACACCTGCGCATCATCACTAGACGGCTTGTTACTTAATTTTTTTATTACCTAAATCTAAGGTGAAGGTCACAAATCAAGGTCAAAGTTAAAACAAGGTCTTTGCTTGTCTGGGCCTTTTCTAAATGATCATCTTTAAATAAAAAGTAAACGCTTTATGACTGCGTTAGCGACCAGATTCTGTTGGTGTCTGGTTTACTGCAGATGTTTACTCACTGGTGGAGCTGGTCTCGTCAGGACTCAGCAGGTGTCGACACAACAAGAACGTGAACAGGTGACGTCTCTGTGTCACCCGGCTGCCGCCGCAGCTTCCTGGCACACTCAACTCTTGGCTCCGTTGCCATGGCAGAGTCTGGGATAATGTAATTAGACGGAGGCGTGTAACCATGGCGATCCGGGCGCTGCGGCGGGGATTTGTTTCATCAGAACCTCGTGTCTCTGGCTGAGGTGTGACGAGCGTCTCGGGGCGAGGTGGACTCGCGGTTTGGAAGTGTCGGGTCAAACCGCAGGGTGGGGGGGGGGGGGGGGGGTGTCTCAGCCTCCTGTTTTTGTTTCTCAGCTCCTGCAGCACTAATGTACGCCAAAAACAAGGAGAAAAATGGATTTACCACAGTCAAGAGGTTTTATAGACGACCAAAAAAAAAAACTACTGCGCAGACAGAAAATGAGTTTGTTCTCAGTTTTGTTCTAATTTAATCAACCTAACTGCGTGTTTTAATTGTTCAGTTTGTGTTCAAATAATTCAGGGGGCTAAACAATCCTTTTGTGCTTGATAATTATGTTGCGACTCCAAGGATTTTAATTTAATGAGCATATTTGTCCAGATTATTGCCACTGAACTAAACGATTCAATAAATGATAATTCAGGGCTGCAGACGGAGCACGATGGAGGTTTACTTCATCCTGACGGCAGTCTGAATGCACCTCGAGGTGGCAGGAGACAAACAACCTGTCGTCACTTGAGTATCGAGGTCGTCAGCAGAACCTGGTGGTGGCTGCAGATTACGGTCCAAGTGTTTTCACAATGTAAAGAAATGAGCATGAACTATTTACCTCAAACACAAATTAATCTGCTGCCAGAAATACAGAAGAAACAACTTCCTGTTATTATTTAGCTGGAAGCGTGACATTTGAAAAGCTCTTTATTCCACAAGGTTTTTATTGCAGTAATTTATTTCAAAGTGGGTTTAGGGCAAGCTGTGACACGAAATGACCTGAAAAGGTTGTCTGCAGCAATTTAGACCCTTTGCAGGGGCTCCTGGTGACTTGGACCAAAACTGATGTCCTCCTGATTAGGCCTGTCGCGATAAACAATAAATCAATTAATCGCACGATAAATGAAAATTATCGACCTCGTCTTCATTTATCGGCTTTATCGTTTCTTCGTCTCTCTTTTTCTGAAGACAAAAGGCTCAACTCCGGTGCTCTTCACTGACCCCTTCCTTTCTCGTTTCTCTTTAAAATCTGTTTTAATCGTCCAAAATCGCGTTCTTGGATCGTTGAGAGCCGCTAAGCTACGAGCTAAGCTAACAGGCCGACCTGGGGGGGACCTCCGTCTTGTCGAAGCTCCAAAATTCACAGTTGAAACTCGTGCCTTCGTCTAAAAAGTTGTTTTTCTCTGCAAAAAGAAGCGGAGAACTTGTTTACTGATTATTTTTTTAATTAAAAGCTTTGTGTGAAAAATGCTAAAGAGCTCAAACCACACCGAGCGTCCGCCATTTTGAGAACCGAAGAGAGACAGCCCATGCAGCGTTGCCAGGTGAGAAATGTAAGATTATCGTACTGGAAACATTAAATTATCGTACACCCGTCATAACCAAAATAATAAGTCTATTGATGCGCTGTAGTCACTCTAGTGTTGAATAGCGTCTAACAGGCACTCACAGCTTTGTGGCGTCAGAACAGAATGGATTCATCAGCAGCCCCATAGTTGCGTTACACAGGCTACTCCTCGTTCTCCCCTTTCCATTTGTTCACTCATTTTCATCGCTTCTTCTTCCAGACCGGCTCTGCTTCTTCTTCTTTTCTTTTCCTCACTCATGGGGTGAGGACTATTCAGCCAATCATGGCCGTTGTTCTGAGGCAAACGCAAACACGTCACTCGTAGGTCACTTTTAGAAACGCACGATTGGCTGGAATTTCCAGCGTTTCCGGACACAGATGCCTTCAGGGTTCCCAAAAAAATACTCAAGACAGACAGTTGCGACAACGATTACAACCACACATTCACGGAATGGTCAAATTATCGTATATTTGTCCTTTTTTGGGATTATTGATTGTACATCGTACAGAGGGCAAAATTGTCGTACAAATACGATAACTATTCTACACCTGGCAACACTGAGCCCATGTCACGTCGAGGGGCCTCCCTCCCATTTTCTTAAAGAAACGCGCTGCTCGCTCCCTCACTCACCTCATCGTCGGTTCAAACTGTCTTATACTTCCAGTGGTCAAAAAAGGTACTACACACAAAAATTAACCAACATTTCTTCTTAAATTTGACAATAATTACTAATTATTGTCAAACTTCAAACAATATTATCGTTTATCGCAATAATTTCTGAGACAATTAATCGCCCAGCAAAATTGATTATTGTGATAGGCCTACTTGTGATGAAAGCTTCTTCAAAAGACGAGTTCATGTGATGCTCGTTTCTGCAGCCAAACCACATGCAGGTTGACCCCCCCACCACCCCCCAGGGTCGTTACGATGTGGCCTGGCTGTTTTCTTCCATTGTGCGCTGCTTTCTTTCTGTTTGCATGGACGCCTCCACAGTTCAGCTGAAACGTTGCGCCTCGGATTCAGACGTTCTCTTGTCGCACCACAGGAGAACAGCTGCAGATCAATCAACCCAACGTGTACGACTGCGATGTCCCAGAGTCCTTTGCGTCTTTGGTGCCGGCGCTGGCTGCTGTCTGCGACAAAACCCGTCGGTCCGGTCAGATTTCTCCTCACTCTAAAACCGTGTCCAACCGCAGTGTGACGCTGACCTCAAAGGAAGGCACCGACTTCATCAGCTTCGCCAAAGGAGCCTCGTTCGACAACGGTACCACTCTGAGGAGAAAAGTAGCTGAAACTGTTTGAAGGTACTGAAATAACCCCTGATCTCCCCCTCTGCTCCAACAGACTTGTACCACTCGTGGGTGGCCCCCGCCCTCCAGTCAGACCTCCTGGTTCAGTTCTGGGTTCGCTCCCCGGGCATCCTCCCCTCCAACTGCTCGCTGGGCTGGAAGGTTCTGGACATCACGCTCCTCAACCCGGGCCAGACCTACCCCTTCAAGAACACCCAGGACCACTCCAAGTGGGCGGTCAGCCCCGAGGCGGCGAGGCGGGGGGCGGGGGGAGGCTGGGTGTGCGTGGGGGACATAAACAGGAACGAGGCGGAGGAGAAGCGCGGTGGAGGAACAGTGTGCCTGCAGGATCCGGTGGTTTGGAAGGCTTACCGAGCGGCAGCGCTGCAGTGCGAGGACTGTGGGGGGGGAACAATTCAGTGTCCCCCACCCTCCCTGCTGTAAGAAGTGGAGGAGTCAGCTGAGCTGCAGAAAACTAACATAATACTGAGCAGGTGTGTTAGCTGCAGCATTAGCTTCAGGTCAAATCTCAGTTTAATGAACCGCCTCCATTCTTTGAAGAAATGCTCATCACCTTTCATGAGTTTTAATCCAAGATGGCCGCCACAGCCACATCTTGCAAGATGTGTTCAGGCTTATGAGTTGGGGATGACTCTCAGCTACTACCACACCAGATCTGAGCTTCATGTCTGTGACGTTGGCTGAGCTGTAACAAAATTTCTGCGTTTAGGAAGGTCCCGTGTTGTTTTTATAAATCACTCGTTTGTGCAGGATTGTGGTTTTACTGGTTTGTTTGTGTTGAACAGATACTGGAGCCAGGTTTACTGACTTCATCATAAGATGCTCGGGTACTAATACACTGTGAGGTAATAAACGGGTACTAACATGTTCCATTTTGTTTCATGACAAACCAATAAGACGTCTTTATTAAAAGTTTTATACATTTTCACAAAACTTTCACTGTTCTCCTGCAGTTTTTAAAGGAAACGACTGGAAGCTCCAGATTAGCCTTTTTATCTTTTAATCCCAAGTATAGATATTGAAATATTCTGTATGAGCTGTAAGTTCTGGGGTTTTTTTGTTGCTATATTTTGTTCCTTGGTCTTTTTTACAAAAGGAAAATGTGCATTCAGTGAAACTGCTGAACCTTTTCATGGTACATCTTTAAACCGTTGCTTCTTATTTAGGAAGGTCATTAAACCCGAGTCCAAACTTGATCATGTTTCGAGTTCGTTTTATATTAAATTAGAGTCAAAATGACCAAAGAGTCACAGCATCCGTTTATAGAGAAAATCAAAGAATCGTTCTTTTAAATAAAAATCATTTCATTTAAAAAAGCTTCAGGCTCAGAAACAGTTTTTAGTTTTTTAAATGAACTTTATAGCTGGAGGGGTCAGTGTCAGCAAAATGAAGGTTTTATGAGAATTGTGTTCGTTTTGAAGAGTCAAAAAGCCCAAAGAGGCGTTTGGAAAGAAAACGTGTGTTTTCACTGGCAGGAAGTGAAAGAGACTGATTTATGAACAGCGGAGAGCCTCGGTCGGTTTTCAGAATGTTCCGAGGAAGAGTTGAGCCGGCAGACGGATTTTTATGGTTTCATTTCTATAAAAATCGTTTTTCTGCAACATTCAGAAGTTAAAGTCCGACAACACTGAGGCGTGACGACCTCATTGCTCCTTTTGGGAATGAGTGGTTAAATGAGTGAACCTCCAAGTGTTTTTTTCACATTTTTGTTGTGTTTTATAGATTTTCAGCTCGTCACCTTTCCCAGCATTCATTCTTTCATTCATTCATTCATTCATTCGTTCATTCCCATCATGATTTTCCTACAGATGGATGTCAGAAATCTGGATTTAAAGTAAAATTACTGCAAAGGTTGAAGTGAAATCTGTTCGCTTTTTGTTGTTAATGTTAATGAGGATTCAGGTTCAAAGCTTTATTTTTTTTATTTTTTTACAATCTACTTCTGAATACTTTCAACTCATTCACAAACTTTTTGTTCTCTTTAAAGTTTGCTTCAGCAGTTTGCTCCGTTTTATCATCTTATTCTTGTGATGTAATGACGTTTTATTGTTCTGCTATATTTTAATTTTAGCTAGCCTTTTGCTACTTTTAGCTTCTAGCTAGTTTTGCTACTTTTAATTAACCTTTTGCTACTTTTAGCTTCTAGCTAGTTTTGCTACTTTTAACCTTTTGCTACTTAGCTTCTAGCTAGTTTTACTACTTTTAGACAGTCTTGCTACTTTTAACTAACCTTTTGCTAATTTTAACTCTAGCCAGTTTTGCTACATTTAACTAACCCTTTGCTATTTTTTAGCTTCTAGAAAGTTTAGCTACTTTTAGCCAGTCTTTTGCTACTTTTAACTAACCTTTTGCTACTTTTATCCAGTATTTTGCTACTTTTAACTAACCTTTTGCTACTTTTAGCCAGTCTTTTGCTACTTTTAAGTAACCTTTTGCTACTTTTAGCTTCTGTCCAGTTTTATTTTTAGCCAGTCTGTTAATTTTCTGTAGTTTTGACACTTGTAGGTAGCCCTTTGATGCTTCTACATTCACTACTACTTCTGATATTTAGTTTATTTAGCCTTTTGACCTTTTTATCAGTTAGTTGTTGCTACTCTAAGCTAGCCCTTTTCTACTTTTAGCTAACCTTTTGCTACTTTGAGCAAACATTTAGCTGGTTTTAGGAAGTTTGTATTTTTTTTCTAGAAACCATTTGCTCTTAGCAATCCTTTTTCTACTTTTAATGTGCTTTGCTATTTTAACTTAGTTAGCATTTGGTACCTTTTGCCTTTTAACTAATGTTTTTGCTCTTTAGCATTTAGCTAGTGTTTCACATTTCTAGCTTAAACGTCTAGTTTTAGCTTCTCCAGCAATCATTTTTGTTTTGCATGTTCTTATAGCTTTTTATGGAACGCTGCGAAAACTGTAAAGTGGAGTCGGACACAGAACAGAATTTATATAAAAGTAAATTTATTACCACAAAATAAGACATCCTGTTTGTAGTGCATAAATAGTTTTGATGTGAAGCGGCACAACATGGGGGGTGTGGCGTTTCCTCCACGTCTGCTCCTTATATTCTGATGAAAGGAGAGCACCCAGGAGAAAAAGGCACTAGAACAGGCAGGAACACAGTGTTATTACCCAGAATCCTCTCCCTGGTGCTGTAAGCTCCAGCGCCTCGGCCGATCGGGAGGCCTCATCAGCCCTGAGAAGGACGTCTGGCACCCAGAGGTCACAGGACTTCTTTCATTTTCACACAGAAGCTGAGACTTTGCTCTCAGCTGAAAACTTCCAACCTGGCAACCTTTGTGCTTAAAATGACATTTTTATTCTTTTAATATTACACTGTTAGACTGAAGGAAAGCCATTCGTGTTTTTTAAAGTGCTTGAAATGTTTCTTGAAATCTGCATTAATCAGTTTTCGTCTGCTACATGAAGTCACGTCGTTTTTGCAGTTTAGTGCTGCCTCCACTCTCCCCCAGCAGAGGAGCTTCAGGTTCAGCTTCCTGGTTAAATGAACTTTGAGCTCCAGCTGGACACTTTTCAGCTTTGCAGGAACCAGTGGACCTGCTGGTTAACTTCCTGTGTGCTGGTGGACAACACGCAGCCGAGCTGGAGCAGCTTATAGAAACCAAAACATGGGAGTTAAAAGTGGAACGTGCTGCAGAATCGAACGGTTCTGTTCAGATCACAGTTAAACATCTGAGCGAACGCAGCTCCGCGTTTACGCCGAGTCGCGTCAAACACCGAGCTCCGAAAGGTGCTGCAGGTTTCTGACGGTTTCTACAGAATCAGTTGTCGAACACCTGGAGCTGCTGGTGTGAACGAAACCTCCCACAGACGTAAAAAATATAGAAATGCGTACAAAACGTCTCGCATGCTTCAGTGTTTTCATAATAAATCCTATTTTCTGAGTTGAACATCCGAAAGCTGATGGCTCCGATGATCACAGCTGTTAAAAAACGTATTCTGGATATTTTTGGCAGAACAGACTTGGTACGAGCATAAAAGGAAGGCAGGTTTTTTTTTTTTGTTTGTTTGTTTTGCACAAAGAACCCCACGTGCACATACGTCCAGATAAAATAAAGTAACTGCTACGAAGGACCACGTTCGTGTCAAAATAAAGTCCGGACCAGTCTCCTTCCTTTGGCCTTGATTCGAGGAAAAGTGGCGCTCGTCTCCGTGCTGATTGGCTGCGGGCCAAGCACGGCGTTTCCGCCTTTCCTTCTCAACAGGAAGTCGACGCTGGCTGATGTCATGGCGTAAAACACGTTTCCTGTTGCAGGAATGACCAGCTCTGCATCAAGAGAAGAATTAGAGACACTTTAATAGTTGTTTTTATGAACGTCTGAATCCTGTACATCAGGTCATCGTTTGTAAATACCTAAACTCCTCAAACAAAGTTTGGACAATTTTTAAGTGATTGGTCAATAAAAATAAATTTGTTTGGTTCTTGTCAGGCCGCTTCATTTCTTAAAATCATCAATCACATCCAGAAGTCTGCTTTCATTAAAGGAGATGTGATCAGGTCTGAAGTGAGGGTTCACTTCCTGTTTCATCGCTCAGCACCACAGCTTTACCTTCTAGTAGCTTTATTTTGAAATGCTCCGTCATTGTCACCTTTGCTTCCTGTTTGCTGTCAGTAAATATTACCTTTTTGTTTGGACCTGTCTGTTTTAAGCTCGGCGTGCAGATTGTGTCGTCTCTTTTTTACTGTTTCCTGTGTCTGCTGAACTTTATGTGATAAATTATTGTTTTTATACCGTGTTTTATAAAGGATTGTTAACGAGGGCCTCTTTTTAAAGCATTAACCTTTAAATGTGGCACAGTGGTTTCTTTTGTACCTTTTCCTTCAGGCAGAAGTTGGATGAGCTCATATCTGGATGCCTGTTTGGGGTCCTGATTGTGCTTTTCCAAGGCCGAGCTGATCACAGCGGGGGTCTTATCGTTGCTCGTGACCTGCGTGGAAACAGGAGAACATCAGGAATAAAATACAGATTCCTTTGTTTGCTGAAGATAAATACATAAAATAAAGGGAGGGGAACAGCTCTAAGATCATTCAGGTCTCCCTGCTGGTGTAAACGTAGAACTGGTTTGGTACCAGTATGCTTCGATACAGGTTTCCATCGTGCAGGTCCATCCGTATTCTGATGATCCGTATGTCGGGCCCCGACCCCTGGATGTTGCTCTGGGGGTTGTTGCCGCACGACGCCGACCGGCGGTGGGATTTTGTGGGGGTGGATGGAGTCAGCGAGGCGGGGGTGGACTCGTTAGTCGGAGGGGACGTGTCCACATCAAGGCAGGAGACAGACGGAGACCTCATGTGCTGCAACAGGAAGAAGGGTGATTTTAAAGACGACCTTTCAAATGGGGAGAATTTTCAGATGAAAGTCTGTTCTGAGCGCAGCGTCTGTGAAATGAGCTCATATAAATGCAAATGTGACCTTTAACGACTTACTGGAGGAACGGGGACAATGCAGCTAGAATGCTGAGAATGCTAGTTCCTGAAGCTAAAGGAAGCAGGACACTAGCCAAAAGCTAAAAAAAAAAAAAGCAAAGGCTAGCTAAAAGATACAATGGCAAGTTTTAAGCTACAACCTAAAATATCTAAAACACTAGCTAAAAGTAGAATTAGCAAAGAGAAGCAAAACACTAGATAGAAGCTGAAAGTCACAAAAGCCTAACTTTTAGTTAAAAGTAGCTTAAAGCTAAACGAAATAGCAAAAGTAATTAAAAGCTAAATGTAGCACAAGGCTAGCTGAAATGAAAGTAGCAAATAGCTAAAAGTAAATGCTAACTAGAAGTCAAAGAATACAAAAGCCTAGCTCGGAAATAAAAGAGGCTGAAGAGAAGCTAAAAGTGGCAAAATGGTAGCTAAATATTCGCATAAGAAAACAAAACTAAGGCCAGTAAATTGAAGGAAATAAAACAAAAACAAAACAATGTTTTTGAAGTAATCAAAGATATTTTGTTTCTATGAAGAAAAAAAAACGTGTAAATAAAATTCAATATTTTGAAAAGCACAAAAACCACCAAAAGTCACAGCAAATCACAAATGAGCTAAAAGTTTTGATGTATGAACAGCTAAAAAGCTGCAGTTCAAAGACGTACAGAAACATAAGAGAGAAAACAACAACAATAGTTTGAAAGCATAAAAACAAGCTGTCAAGAGTTACTTTAGTGAGTTTGGAGAGAAAGTTGTTGACGGGTGAATGAAAGTAAAACAGACTGTCGCTGTCGGTAGCCAGGCTGCTCCGGGAGGCACTCAGACTGAAAACAAACAAACAAACAAACAAACAAACAAACAAACAAACAAACAAACAAACATCAGAGGCAGTAAATCATCCAGATTTTCTTCACATTTAACTTTTTTAAAAAATCATATTTTATAGCTTGTTCAATCTGGAGTCTAGATGTTAAATAAGCACTTCAGCTCATTAAAAAAAAAAGTTTAGTTTAGCAATTCAAAGCAATTTTTTTTTAGTTAGCGAATTAGCGGTTAGCGAAGCTAACGTTTTGATTAGCTGTGCCCACCGCTGCATAAATACATCAACAGTTCTGTAATGTGCACATTTCAAAATGCACAAGTAGTAATAAGCTGCACATACTATTTGAATCTAAAACTAATAATATACTTGATATAATCTAATGAACCCGAGTTGGATAAGAACATTGTGTAGTGTATTTCAACGAACCAGAAGTAGGCATGAAACTATCTAGACCACAATGCATTGCAACATCCTGGCTTTGAACATGCACATTAGTAACTATAAAACAGTAATTATTAAAACACTGAAATTAAAACACTTCTATTGGCATCACTGGATTCAAGAATGTTCTTGTGTGACTAATTTGAAGTCTAATTTATCTTCATACTCATTATTTGTGGTAATTCATCAGTCTGTGTGTGTTCTCTGCGTATCTTACTTTGGGCACTGGGTGATGATGACGGTCGGAGGAAGGCCACGAGGACTCGGCTCACCTGGAGCTTCGATTTCATTGGACAGTCTGTAGCTGCAAGTAGACATCAGTCAGTGAAACTACTGAGAATAAAAATCCGAACATACTTTTTACTACAGTGCAAACATGCGAGTTGTTCTACTTAAAATAAGGAGTTTGTATTGTAGAAAGTACCTCTGCTCCTCTGTGAGTGTGGGCACGCTGTGATACCACTGTAAGAAGGCCTCATCAGCTGTGAAAATACAGTTTTTGCAGGAAGACTGCAGGAGCCGGATTTGAGCTAAAACCTCAAACTCCTGCAAACAGAGAGCCGCATCACCGCAGTGTTTCACAATAAAAAAACACAGATGTCAGCTGATCCAGAGTGACAATGGCAGCTTTTTCCCCTTTTCTGAGCTAAAAGCTACGTGTCGCAGGTTTGATTTAATAATTCAAGCCTTGCAGACTCATCTCATTTTGACTTGTGTGAATGCCGAGCAGCTTTCACTACCGTTTTCCAGTTTTGTCCCGTATGCATGTTTAATGTTACTACTTGGTTCATATTTTAAACCGTTCAGCTGGTTCTGCCCTCAAGTTGTTTTCTGCAACTATTTCTACAAGTCTGCTTTTATCTACATTAACAAGGTTTACAAAAAAAATAAAAAATCACTTTAAATATTTTTAAAACATTCTCTTTAAAATCTACTTCAGCATTTCTCTTCTAACTGCTAATGCTAATAATGCTAATTAATATTTTTACAGTTAATGTTAATTCTTCTTATGCTACAGCTGATTCTAATATTGCCATGTTTACTACAGGTAATTCAAAGACTTCTAATGCTACTATCGTTAATAATGCTAATGCTAATTAAGTATAAAGCTAACAAATGGCTTAATGTACCCTAGCTTTTTTTTTTTTTACTTTTAGATTTTAAAATGTACATTTTTTTGTTATTTTTATGTTTTAGCTAATCATCTGCTTTTGTTAGCGGCACAGTGGTGCAGTTGGTAGAGCTGTTGCCTCTCAGCGAAAAGGTCGCCGGTTCAAATCTTGGCTGGGGACCTTTCTGGGTGGAGTTTGCATGTTCTCTCCGTGCATGCGTGGGTTTAGTCCGGGTACTCCGGTTTCCTCCCACAGACCAAAAACACGCAAGTTAGGCTGATTGGTAACTAAACTGCCCCTAGGTGAGAGACAGAGAGAATGGTTGTTTGTCTCATTTGTTTCTATGTGTCCCTGTGATGGACTTGCGACCCGTCTACTGGCATAGTGACTGCTGATATGGGCACCAGTGACCCCCCTGACCCAAAAAGAAAGGAGCGGGTAAAGATGATGGATGGGCATATTTGCTTTTGTTAGCTTTTAGCTAGTATTGGCTATTTGTAGCACTTTGCTATTCCTACCTTGCATTTCACTTCTTCAGTTTTTTGCTGCTAGCCTTTTGCTACTTTTAGCTTTTTGTTTCAGCTTCCTCAACAAACTTTATTCAAATTATTCAGACTTTTGCATTAACTGTGCAATTTTTGCAGAACATTGAATTTCTCCAATTATTATTTGCAGCCGACTTTGTGGAAACTGCGAATGTCTCTCGTCTCGAAGAACAAAAGCAGAAAGTGTATTTGGCTTTTGTTTCTGACGCAGGTTGCAACACTCACCCTTCTCCTTTTGTCAAAGTTGATGTAGCCGTTCTGTAAAGACAGAGACAGGAAGTGTTGGGTCAGCCTGACTGTTGTTACACATCGACAAAGACGAGATCGACTTACATCCAGCCTGTCTTTGACCGCCGTGTCCAGCATGGTGAGGTCTGTGAGGAAGAGTCCCAGATAGGGCACGGTGCCCTGAGCGTTGGACTGTGTTCAGAAACAGACATGTTTTCATCAGTTCCCCGGAGGTTTGCATTCACAACCCAAAGAGCCCACCTAGAGATGAACTTCAGAGCAGAGCCTGCAGCCATTTCTCTCACGGTGGCTCAGGATTTAACACACACGCACACAAACTGCTGAAACATCCTCGTGCTCAGCAGAGGTGCCCTCACCTTCAGCATGAAAAGAAAGGTGGTTTACAGCAAAAAAAAAAACTATTTACGAGCCGTTCGTTTTGAATAAAAGAAAAACACTTCCAGGAAAAATAGTTTCTACTCTCAGGTTCACATCATCCTCAAGGGAGCGCGAGGCAAAACTCACCTCCACATGTCAACAAGGCCTGAACCACACCTGAGCATTTACCATCACCTGCCGCTAACAGCTGAAGTGGTGATCATGTTTTTGCTGGTTTGTTTGTATAGTTAGCAAAATATCTCATGAACCAGTGGACTAAAAATGCATCTAAACTCTCAGACATTAACCACTGACTAGATATCTACAGCTCATTAACCAATTCAAGATGCAGCTATTTGACTTTAGCAGCACAAAAATGGCTGCTTAGTCTAAAGTTTGTGGTAGTGGTCGAGAGTCACTCCCAGCACACTCAGAGCTACACATCAGAGAGTTCACGCAGCCCGACATTAGATCGTGCACAACTCCAGATCGAAGGTTTGATTAAAACGGCGGCAGCTCCATCAGCTTTCAACAAAACATGATTTTAGTTTCCGCACAGCTTCCACTGAAGCTCCGACTCTGAGGGAGCTGCGGAGCCTTTTTACAGGCGGTTACATCATTCTGAACATTTCCAACGTCTCCCATAAAGGCCTGTGGGGGTGAACATCCCTGCAGGCGAAAGCGTTTGGTGTTCAGCCTGAACGTGGGCAGTGAAGTTAGTGAAAGCTGCTCTTTTATCAGACGGTACATCAGAGACGATTCCTCTGAAAATCACAAGGTCATTTTAAGACTTTCAGGAGCCGAACATTCTCAGAGAATCTAACGCTCCGGCGAGAATAACGCGCCGACGGGTGGTGTGCTTTTAAAGAAAGGCACTGAACAGTTTTCTCCTCCTGCAGCCGAGCGCCGACCCGTCCATCGAAGGACTTTAGGTCCGTTTGTTTCGTGTTTTTCCGTCCACAGCTCTCGGAGCACGTCCACTCCACTCACCCTGTTGGAATGTTTGTTGTTCAGCCTGTTGTCAAGGTTGGCAAACTTTGAGGTGCCCTCCTGCAAAACAAAAAGACAAAAGTGTTTGTTTGTTTTTTTTTACTCGATCACCATCTGCAGAGATTTACCAAGAACAAAATGTTCAGAAGTGTTGAAAACTTGACGAGTTTTAAACTAAACGAAGCATCGTCTTGATGCGCTGCAGGCAGGTGCATCTTACCGACATGAATTTACTACATTTTTATACATTTTAATGCCAAAATGCATAAAAATAAAAAGTCAGAGTTCAAATTAAACATTTTAAACAGGCAGTGTCTTTTTGACCACTTGGGGGCAGAAAAAAAAAGTTTTAAATCATCCTGATACATTTTCAATAGTTTCCATGCACGTTGTGTCCGTGTTCATTCAAATATGGGTTGACTAGAAAAATAGATTTTGCAGGTAAGAATAAAAACTATTTTAAAGTTTGTGATTTCCTGATAATGATTCACACACGTGTAATTTTTAGCGTCCAACAGAAAAATGTTTTGTTTTGAAAAGTCTTTGGTAAAAAGGCAACAGAGCAAGAATAATATTTCACGAGTGAGAGAAAAGTTCTTCTGACTTTAATAAGTCCCTGCTTCTTATTCTTGCACAACAGAGAGCTTTGTTTTTTGCCCATGTTGCACCACTGATCTTCATCCCCGTGACGTTGTGCACAAACAGGAGCACTAGATGCTGAGAAAGTGTCCAACATCAGTTTCCCAAGTGGATTTTAGTTCATGCACAAAACAGCAATTTTCTTTGATTTAGAGTCAAACTCTGACCATCTTCTTGTTTAATCAAGCAAACACTTCATGCACCCACTGCACCACATCATCAACTGCACACACAAAAAACGAACAGTTGGAGTTAAAAAAATATATATTTTAAAAAGTGCAGAAATAAAAGTTTGAACTTTTTTGCGAAGTAATAAAAATATTAACGGTTGAAACATCAAACGGCATCAGCACAGACGCGAGTCCTGAAATAAATCCAGAACGTCACCAAAGACCTGCTGAGATCCGAGTCCACTTCAAGTCCAGCTGAAGATCAAACCCACAGCTTTCACCAGCCTGCAGCTGTGAGTTAAACATCTGCACATCTCCAAACCAACCCGTCGTTTCATACGCTGGGCTGGCTGCACGTCGTCCACACCGGCTCATGGAGGTCAATATTTAGTCGGGTTTAAAGCTGCTTCAGCTCACCTCCTTCAGCAGTTCTCTGCTGTGAGAGTAGTTGTCCTTGTCTGAGAAGATTTCTGCCAGATCCTCGTACCTCCTCAAGGCCTCCCTGCAAGGCGAAAGATTCACGGGACTTTCTTCAAGTCACTCAAAGACAGAAATGTAATGAAACGAACGAAGGGGGAAATGTTCAAAACAAAGATGTGAGGCTGCTCAGCAGACGGGACCGCTGCACGAACTGGACGTGAGCCACAGACCTGTCGGTTTCCTGCCACGTCCTCCTCAGCCTGTGGATGGGGTTGCTCTGCAGCGCCGACACGATGGAATACAGAGACGAGAAGTTCTTCCTGGCTCGGCACTCCTGTTGAAACCACACGCAGCCAAATAAAAAAGCCATTCGCAAGCGTTTATTTTACAGATATCTGGGTTCAGTTGCTCTTTTATTCTGATGGTCTCAGATGTCTGCAGCAGCTGCATGTGCAACAAACCAACAATGCCATTTTATTCCTAAATGATGTGCAGAAACTGCTAAAGGGACCACAACAACCGTGCATGTTGTATTTTTATAAAACTCAATACTTAACATTACAATAGTTACAATAACAGGTTGGTGCAAGCTGCTTTACATCAACAGAACTCCTGTAAAGTCGCAGAAAACCAACAACAACTGAGCAGAGCTGCCTTTGCTGTGAGGTCTTTAATATGTGAGACGAAGCCAGCAGGTCCAAACACTCTCTCTTCAACTGTAAGTCACAAATTACTTTTTATGACCCAGAACCGGCCTCATTGGGAACACTTTTCAAAAGTCATTGTGCTGATTTGAAAACCCTCATATATACATTGATGCCTTAAGTGTTCTTTAGTAGAAAAGAGCAATAAATCAAGATTTCCGCCCGGCTGCACTTTGCTCTCGGTCATTGATTGGAGTGAAATAAGCAGCATGTGCACCAGAGCTGCAGGATTAGAGAGAGGGAATTACCAAAAGTTTATTGGAGGAAAAGTTTCATGAAAGCCTTAAACCCCCAACGGACAAACTTCCAGCAAGTTTATAAAATAAAATAATAAAAAAATATATATATATTTTCCATTCTGGTTAAACTATCACTTTATGGTGAGTGAGCTTTTGTTCGGCTGACCTCTGCCACGCTGATCCACTTCTCCAGCAGCCGTGCTCTCTGCTGGCTGCGCAGCTTCGTTGGCCAAAGGCACGACGCTAAAACGGCGTTGGCCAGCTTGTTGAACTGCCGTACGGTGGCCCGGACGGACCAACAAACCCCTTCCCTTCCCTTCTTGTCCCTCTGAGACCACAGCGAGCCGAGGCAGTGGTACGGGACCAGATGGACAAACAGCTCCTGGAACACAGAGCTCTGAGTGAAACAGCCCGTTTCCTGAAAACAACTCTAATCAAACAGCGTCTTTAATTTCCTGCTGACGAACAGCCTTTCTGCTGCTGGCAGCGCTCTGTTCGAGCCTCGACGGCTCGTGGTCCCGTTTAGTGTTAAACCCTGAAAATTGAACAAGACCGCAAAAGGAAATGCAACAAACTCAACACACATGAATTTAGCATTTTTTATAGTATAGAGAAATTGCATTTCCTGCAAAAATGTAGTGTGGATGCTTAGTGCAGAAGAACAGCTGAAATTAGCTTAAAAAACATGCTGAAATGTGGCAGAAATGGAAGACTAGCCCACTTCAGCAGAAGTAAGCAGAAAAAACATATTTGCTGAATTAGGTTTAAATAGGCAGAAATGAGCACAAAATGAATTAGCTAAAAAAAGCTGAAATGTAGCTGAAAAGGCAGAAAGAAGCTTAAACTA